GATTTGGTCTTTTGCAAAGACGCCACTGGCGAGACGTTCACCTTTTTGAACCAGCTCGATGAGGCAACCACCTATCAGGCATTGACCCTCATCCCAAACCGTGAGTCTGGCACTATCAACCAGGTGTTGATCAAGGGCTGGTTTCAGTTCTTCGGTCTTCCTGAAACCTTGCTCATAGATGTTGAAGGTGCACTCAAGTCTTTTTCCTTCGAGGAGCTCATGGCGCAAAGCAATGTGGCTGTAAGATATGTCCCACCTGACGCTCACTATCAGTTGGGCAAATGCGAGAGACATGGTGCCATAGCTCGTGCCATCCTTCGCAAACTCATCGACGAGCACGGGCTGATTGGTGCCGACGACATGACAACTGGTGCAGTCATGGCATGTCATGCCAAGAACTCCTTGGCCCGACGGGCTGGTTGCGCCCCAGCTCAATGGGTTTTTGGACAACTTCCACGTCTACCTGCCTCCGTACTGTCTGAAGCCGACAATCCAGAGGCCATGGAATTGACCTCACTGAGTAGCAAACTGCAGCGGACAGAGCAACTTCGGTACGCTGCATTGCAAGCCTTCCTGTCCTTCGACAATGATGATCAGCTTCGTCGGAGCATTCTCCGCAAGAGCCGCCCGTGGCGTGGACCCTTCGAAGTGGGCATGAAGATCGTCTACTACCGACTTCGCAACAACTTGGACAACGAGGGCGCGCAACCGGGATACCGACAGGGGATTATCGTCGGCATCGACCCCGGAGTCAACGGCTCCCTCTGGGTGCGGAACGACAGGGGACGGCTGGTCCAAGTTGCTCGTGAACAGGCAAGGACCCTGGCAGGGCAAGAGCTTTGGATACCAGATCACCAGGACCTAGCCATCTTGAGGTCAGCTGAGCAAGATCTCTCCAAGAAACACGCAGCTGCCCATGACTTGAGGGATGCACTACCCCCTCCTGATGATCAAGCTGCTCCTCTACCACAGCATGATCCTGTTCAGCTACCCGCACTACCAGAGCCTCTGCCAGTCGAAGCCGATGCACCGGTTGAAAAGACCGCTCCTTCTAGAAGACCGTCACTTGTTCCATCAGTGGTCCTGGAACCTCTGGATGCTTCAGGGCAACCTTTGGATGAGCCTAGCTCCGCATCTGTGCCATCAGGCATCTTGGCACCGGCGTCACCTCGAGACGCCGCAGTGGCATCACGGAGGAGCTCTACGGCTACTGATGGGCCCTTGGATGTTAAGCGAATCAAGACCTCGGCCGCACCTTCTGTCAGATCGTCAGCCTCAGATGTTCCTGACCTTCCAACAAGCTTCTCACGACAGAGTTCAGTGCAGGCACGACAAGTCTCTCAAGGCACAGAGGTGCTTCCTCCCGTGCCTGAAGACGACGATTTGATGGCTGATCCCATTCCTCCGGAACCTCGTGATGAGCTTCCGTCTGAGATGACCTTGGATCAAACCAATGCTGTTTCCTTCACTGAGTACGAGACGTACACGATCAGTGCCAAATCTTTTTGCAAGTTTTGTGGATGTCGGGAGAAGCAACTGTGTTCTGGAAGACTTCAGTGCTGCCGATGTCTTTGTTTTGAATTCACGGACCACCCTGGAGATGTGCAAAGTTGGTTTGATGAAGATGTTGAGTTTGACTCCCGCACCAGAAGTTGGAGAAGCTCTCAACTCGCTTTGACTGAAGACCTCCATCTTCCTCAACAAGAAGAACTACAAGCAGCTTGGATCTCAGGCACTTGGCAGAACAACGAGATCCACCGAAGTCCAAGCAAAGAGCCAGGCTCATCAACTACTGGCTCCGCTTTGAAAAGTGTAGCTTGCTGGTCCACGACCGAGGAGCAATGGAGCTGGCTGACTTTGGCCAACGTGGAGACTGACCTTGATGTCAATGACTTCGACCTCAACAAGAAGATGGTCATCTACCACGCACCTCGTCGTGACAGAAAGAAGCTAGACCAAGAAACGTTGCTGCAACAGAGAAGGCTGTATGGTCATCATCAACCTCAACAAGTTTGGCTCCTTCGCCATGGACGACAAGGAGCACTACAAAATGGCTGGGATGGCACTCCTTCAGAGCGCCAAACTCTTTTCGATGGCCAGCAACACTTCATGATGGCAAGTCACTTGGCAGACTGGCTCGACGCACAAGCAAATTTGGTCAGCTACTCTGAGACTGCCGAGACCTTTCAGACATACCTGCTCAACGGCACCACCAACAACATCAAGATGCAGGACACTTCGGACGAGGAGGATGGCGGTTTGGAGCGCACTCAGCGCCAGGCTTTGAAACGTGAGCTTCCCTGGCGATCCATTCCCGCGGCCGACTGGCCTGCCTTCATCGAGTCCATCACCAAGGAATGGAACGAATGGAAGAAGTGGAGCTCTTGCACCAAGTTCACCGGTGACCCTAGTACGATTCCGAAGCATCTCATCTTACCCTCACGGGTATGCTATCGGTGGAAGCCGATCGACGGGGGCACGAGCCACAAGGCAAAGGCTCGCATTGTGATCCAAGGATTTCGTGATCCTCACCTTCCTCTTCTATCTCGAGATGCTCCTGTCTTAAGCCGCATCGGGTTGATGGCTTTGCTTCAGTGGGCGGCTTCCATGGGAACTGATTTGGTGAACGGTGACTGCAAGAGCGCCTTTTTGCAAGGCAAACCAGATGATGAGAGGCCCGAGAAGATTTACATGAGGGTCCCTCAGGACGGCATCTCACTGGCCGCCATCGAGGACTGGAACAATGCCCCTGACACTCTCTACCAGCTGACAGCTCCTGTCTACGGCGCTGCAAACGCCCCTCGGCGTTGGTACATCCATGTCCGTGAGACCATGGAGAACCTTGGCTGGCAGGTCCACTCCTTGGACCCTTGTCTCTTCCTCAAGCTCAACGGAACCAAGGTCATTGCAGTGCTGGGTATACATGTCGACGACATTTTGGCCAGTTCCTTGGAGCCAGGTGTGTTGAAAGAGGTTGAGGGCAGCTTCACATGGGGCAGCGAGTGGGAAGTCAATGACTTTGTGTTCATTGGACGAAGGATCGTGAAGCACTCCAACCACACGATCACTCTGTCACAGAGCCACTACGCTGCTGATGTTTTTGTCAGTCGCGTGAAAGGCGACGCCAATGAACCCATCGGCAACAACCAAGAGCTCATGAGCGAGTTCAGGTCAGCAATTGGCTCCTTGCAGTGGATGAGCGGAACCACCAGACCTGACATCGCCAGTGAAACAAGCCTCCTTCAGAAAGCACAAGCAGAGTTGACTCTGCAGGACCTTATGGATGCCAACACCACGCTTCGCTACATCAAGGCTACGGCGGATAGCCACATCATGGTGAAACCGATTCCCCTGGAGAACCTGGTCCTGATCTCCTACGGAGATGCTGCATTCGGGAACGCACCAGGAGGAAAATCTCAGGGAGGTTATTTGGTTTTGGCCTCAACCGAAGAAGCTCTCCATGGCGAAGCAGAGGCATCGCTGCTGGACTGGAAATCTTTCCGGCATCAGAGGGTTCTTCGCTCTACGCTTGCAGCAGAGGCAGCTAGCTTGGACCGCTCTGAGGACAGCGCAAACTTCATCGGCTGCTTGCTCGGCGAACTGGTGATTGAAGGCTATGTGGCCTCGCATTCAAGCCGATCGCCATTTCCTGTATGGCCTGTCACAGATGCCAGGAGCTTGTATGATTCCATACACCGACTGGCCACGACCTTCAGCGAGAAGAGAGTGGAGATGGATGTGGCAGCTTTGCGCTCTACCTGCCGGAATTTGAGGTGGGTGCCAACAGGTGAGATGAAAGCTGATGCCTTGACGAAAAGGTCGAGCGCTTTGCGGGATGCCTTGAGGAAGTGGGCACAAAATCCTACTGTGTCCCTCACCGAGGCCAGGGATCCAGACACTTCCCTTGACCCCAATGCACCTTGGCGGCCGGTGAAGGCAACAAAGAATGTCACCAGTGCGAATTTGATGTCTTGTTCATGAGTTGTTCCCCATGATTGCCATTCACCGCCGCCATATCTCCCAGAAGGGTGGGAACTTCGAGCTCGCTTAGTGAAAAGGTTTGGAGCGCAGCCCCGTGGTAGATCCAGGGTTCCAAGGCTCCACAACCAGCCTTTCGCAGGAGCAAGTGCCAGTTTGATAGAACAAATGCCGGAGCTTATGGCAGAACAATGCAGAACACATGTCCGTTACTTGCCATCAAGGACGTCAGGGCAGAGCTTGGAACATTTCCCAGCCTTTATGGTAGATACGCGTCAAAATCCATAGCAGACTTGGTTCGAGAACAAGCGTCAGAGCAGTGTGTCAATGCACATGTCAGGCAGCCTTTGCCGGGATAATCTGTCAATCCATGCGCCCTACTTGTTCCAAATTGGCTCTTGGGGTGGGGACCACTCAGGGTAACGTAACTATTCACCTTTGTCACACTTTGGAAAACGAACGCTTCATTCGTAGACCCACAGGGTGCAGGTTTAGGCCGGCATGCATTCACTCCAGTTTATTGTCCTTCAACTTTGTAGTTTGAGAACCAGTCACCGAACATGCTCCTTTCTGTCACGAAAGTCCGCTGTGCCATAAAGGCCTGAACATTGCTAGGCCAAATCTTTTTCCAAAGCGTGCCGAGCCGGACCAAACCTCCGAAAAATGTCCTCCCAAAAGAATTGCCTTGAATATGTTTTGAGTGTATAGTTGAGTGTATATAAAGGACCAATATCATTCGAGATGCGTTCGGCAGCTGGGTTCTCGGATCGTGGGCCCAACTAGCACAAAAACATGACATGGGTTGCGCGGTTCAGATGCGGACATTTTACATGTTTCGCGGCGATGCGGAAAGTCTTTGAGACGACCTTTTGGCAAAAAGCACGCTCTAACAATTGCAGCAGGGCGTTCCATTGAACTTCCAACCAAAAAAGGGTTTCTGAAAGAAACAAATGTGACAAATTTCTAACATGTTGTGATCATGAAATGAAACTCCTGGAGTCGGATGAAAGACGCCGTGTCAGGTTGCAGTGGCAACTCCCTCCTCCTGATGTTGCTATTAGGCTTGGATTTTCCCAACAGCTTGACATCCGAAAAAGAACACATTGAGCAAATACAGTTCCGTCCATGTGTGCTTTTATGTGCTGAGGACCATTGAGGGAAAACCTTCATGGACTGCAGCACCTGAAAAGGGTGACGAAAAGCTGTCTGGATTCCAAGCGCAACACCACTTTTGGAAGAAGTTTCAGTTGTCACTTTTTGTCACCACATTTGGTTATTTTTTGAAATTCCCGCATTTGCTTTCCGACATGTTTTCTTTTTTCAAACGTGGCTTTCTCCGTGCCGAGGTGGCTGTCCCATGAAACGTTAACGGTACACAACGACCAGTCTCCGGTCACAGAGGATGCGGGTTGTAAGGGTGATTCCTGGCAGTGTCTCCAACTCATGGGTCCGGACTTTCGATGGCCTCCAACCATCCTTGCTCCGTTCGTAGCGATGCCCTTTGTTCCGTTCGTAGCGTCCTTGTTCCTAGTAAGGCCAGGAGCCCCTAGTAGCGTCCTTTTGCTCGTAGTACGAATGGCGTCCCACCTAATAGCGATGTTTGAAGAGGGAGACGCTAAATCGAAAGATTGCAGACGAGCGAGAGAGGGACGAAGAAAAAACAATCGATCCAGCAAGAGAACTATGCCATGCCTGCAGGACCAAGCAAGAGAAGCTTTATCCCAGTTGGGTGATTCCAGCACCAGGCGCCATGCCTATCTTAGGCGCTTGCCTCAGATGTTTCTGCAGTTCGGAGAATTGTCAACAAACCTCAAGTGAGTCGTAAATACGGCACTGGTGCACAATCAGGTGCGATTTGGTTGGCATGGAGTTGACTAGTTTAGTGAAACTCCGACGCTGGGAACAGCTCCAATTCCTCAATGCCGCTTGGTTCAACTCCAAAAGACACGAGGAGTTTGTTATTGGGGGAGGCAAGCCGTAGGTGGGCTATGGGTAGCTATATACATGTAGCTACTAATCTTGAGCAGTTTCCTGAGCTGGGCACAGAAGGGCTCAGGCTCCATCCATGTGACTTTTGTTCCACCTGACAGAAGAACTAAAGAAATGTTTTAAGTTGTGTTCTACCTGTTTTTGCTCTATCACCACTCTTTATTTGTGCTTAAGTCTTTTGAACTTGGAGCGAAACCGAGGTTTCGCGAAATCGCCTTCGCTCTTTGGAGCCTGTGGGTGCCTTGCGACATCTTTTGCACCTGGACGCCAGCCACAACCTGCTCATCAGGAACCTTGGACACCTCGGGCGGTTTCGGATCGATCAAAGTGATTTAATATAGAATTAAGTTAATTATAGCTTCTTGTTACTACTAGTAAGGTAGTAAGGCACTTGTTCCTAGTAGCGATGCACTTGTTCCTAGTAGCGATGCATCTGTGTTTTGGCGCTGACAGCCAACTGAATGGTGGAGCGGCTCTTACTGCCTTACTCCTCGCCTGGAAGTTGAATCGGATGAAATAGGGCCATTGCGCGAGCACCTTTGCACCACGATTTCCAGCACCTGTCGGCTCCTCCCGATTGGAAAGAACAAACAAATTGAATCAAATTGAACCAACTAGGACTGGGACAACTCGGAAGGGAAAAAAGATAAAAACGGTCGATATCAAAAATGTCAAAAGTCTGCAGAAGAAAAACGACACTAAATTGAACTCGGATGTTGTTGAACGTGTCCTTTGCTCCTTTGCCCAGATGTCCAGTGTTTTCTTGTTCGAACTCGGAGAGAGTCACCTGTGCAGTGCATCTCATGAGAGTCACTGAGGAGTCAAAGTTTCACAGCACCTGATGCACTGGAGACCTGCGACATGTCCTACAACATGTTGGCAGAACTGGGAGACTGGAAAGTTCATCGGTATCTTCGAGAATTGAATTTACGTGCCTTGGGGCGAAACGATGGGTACTGGAAACGACAATATACAGCACAGCGCCACAGGAATGTCCAATGTGTCATGTAAGTGAAAAAAAAGGGGCTCACCCAAGCAGAGAGAGAGAGAGATAGACACCATGTCTTCAAGCACACGTGTTTAATGAATGTTTGAAAGGCAAACCTACATTTGTTGGCACAACATCTCAACAAACCCAACTTTTGGCGCATATTTGCCAGCGGAAGATATAAAGAAGAGGTAACAGGTGTGAAAGGGCAGGGGAGATGTCGTTCACTAACTTTATATGTCGGCTTTAGAGGCCATCGCTAGTAGGTTGGAGGCCATTACTACTAGTAGCAAGAAGCTGTTAGGTTGGAGGCCATCGCTACTAGCGTGGAGGCCATGGACGGTGTCGACTTATGAGTGTTGAGGTGGAAACTACATCAGCATTGTGGGGCATGGCTTGAAGGGCAACTTGGAGCTGCGTAGCTTGGATCTCTCGGAGAATTTCCTCTTGAGACTTGGAGAAAGAACGCTACTAGGAGCAAAGGGCATCGCTACTAGGAGCTATGTTCGCTACTAGGGGCTCCTGGCCTTACTACTAGGAACAAAGAAGCTACTAGGGGCTCCTGGCATCGCTACTAGTAGCAAGGACGCTACTAGGAACAAGAATTGGAACAAGGAAACTCGGAGAAGACCTGGATGATTTGGAGTTGCGCAGCTTGAGCCTGGCGCAAAATAAGCTGAGTTCTTTGGAAGGCGACCAGCAAATGAGTCTAGACATGTCTAGACATGTCTATAACAGTTTCCCATTTTACAACTAACAATTTTACAACTTGGACTTTTTGAGCGTTTTATGGGAAGTTAAGCAAAGCAACGGCTTGATTGGCAGGGATCCAAAAGCTGGCAAAGCTGCATTGCTTGGATGTCCGGCACAACCAAATTACAACAATCACGGCGTTGAGAGCGGAGGAGTTGACAAGTTTAAAACACGTGTGTACTTCGTGCAGCCAACAAAAGGTCCATTTCGACAATGGAGGAGTCTAAAGCATGCAAGAAGCCAAAGCAAACCTAAGACAAACATTGAAAAAGAAACAACAAAATCTCGGCCACGTTTTGCCAAAGCACAGCGAACTGCCTCTATCTTCATCTTTGCAGGACATACCCCGCTTGCGGAAGCTTCGCCTCGCAGAGAACCGCATTTCGCAGATGAGGCAAACAAAGAAACAAGATAAGTTGAAATGTGCCAAGGGAGGCATAGAGGATCCTGACATTATTTGATCTTGGTTTGTTTGACTCTTTGCGTCAGGGAAGTCGATCAATTGGCAAGTTTTGTTTTCCTCAGTGAGCTCTACATGCAGCCAAATCCTGTGTGAAAACCTTAGCCAGTCCTGGACCTCCAGGACCAGCGTTCAGTAGCACGACAGGGTTTCTCATTTTTTTTGTTTTGAATTGAATATTGAAATTGTTTGTACCCAGCAGCTTGTCATTTTGTTTTCACCTTTTTTGTCAAGGTCTCAACTGCCTCAGTACCGTGCACAAGTTCTACATCGGCTCCCTCGCCTCAGACAGTTGGATAGCCAACAGGCGCGATGGCGCAACGCAAAGACGGAGGGACACGGTGACACGGGGCCTCCAACCTAAGAATGGCCTCCAACCTGAGAGCGGCCTCCCACCTGGAGTGACATAGAGTGTTTGGAATCGTCCTCAGGTCACTCCGGAGGAGCGAGTGAAGACAGAAGTGATTTTTGGTGTCGGGCTGAGTCGTGTTGCACAGTATCAGGTATGAGTCGTGATTGTTGGCGTAGGATGTTGTATAATGCCATCGCTAGTTGTAGGATCTTGGATGTGATTCTTTGTGTTCCACTTACTCCCAGTGTCACGAGAGAGGCACACCCCCGACAAGGCAGTCCTTGGACACCAAAGACTCTCTATAGACTCTCTAGACCCGCACATGTCATACGAAGGGGGGTTCAAGCTCGTCCTCTCGAAATGCGTTGCAAACATGCAATTGACATCAATGGACGAATAATCCCATTTGCAGAAACTCCTGTGCTGGAAGGCAATAAGATGCTAACCCGAAAGTGAAAGGAATTCAGAGCCCCCGAGATTTCGTCAGCGCAGATGACTTCAATGAGTTGGTAGCTGAATCTTTTGGCACTGGGTGCAGAACAAAAGGTTGTAAGTTGCAAGCAAGAAATATGTGCTCAAGAAGAGCTTGGACAGAACAAGCTTGCTGGAAACACACCAGTGGAACATGTCTTGATCAACTGCTGTCTAACAACAAACAAACACCTGGAGAAGCTGTAGTAGCTACAGTGGTTGTTCAGGGTTTGACAGTTGTTCAAGGAAAGTTGGTATGTGTACCTGTATTGTTTTGGGAAACGTTGTGACGAGAGTCCACTTTGAGATACAGTGTCCACTGTGACAATGGTCGACCTCAAAAAGTGGTGTCGCGCGAGCTCGCTCTCCAGATTTACCAATGTTTACCCTAAACTGCCATACACTCCTTGAGAACTATTAAATCCACAGCTTGTCGGGCAAGCAACATGGAAGAGACACCTCTTGACTCTTAGACTAGATTCGGAGAGACGCTCACATGAAGAAGACAGGTGCTGATGTGGAGACGCGCCAAGAAATCTTCGAGCAACTGTTGCCAGAAGAAACATTTGTCGACAGAAGGCTCATGACGGAGGCACTTGGGATAAAGTGGTGCACAAGTGGTTTCGAGTCTTTCCTCATGAATGAGAGGATTAGCGCGAAGAAACTGCTCTAGGGCAAAGCATGACAAAGGAACCTTGGATCAGGCCTTCTTTTCAGGGCAGGCGATTGGAAGTAAATCAACTGTTTTCCAAAAACGTGTTTTTGTAAAAGCGCGTTTTGAAGCATTTGGTTTCGCAGGAGCTGATTGCGCAGCTGGAAATGGAACAGTTTGGTTGCCACGGCGATGCCGGGCCCTTTGGCTGTGAAGCCACGTCAGATCCAACATTTGGTGATCCACCCAGGAGAGGTTAAACATGGTTTTTCATGCTGAAATATGAAAACATATGAAACGTGTTCGTTTTGTGCTCACGATGGTGTCCAAGAGCGTCCTAGCAAAGTCTCACACAACGCTGTCATAGAGAACTACCAGCATAAACCCCAAATAGAATTGGAATCATTGCATTCAAGCTGTCTCGGCTTCTCCACTGGCGTTTCATAACAAGCGCACACGGCAGCGGCACGCATGCAGCTCTCCTTATCCTTGAAGTAAGAACCCCAATAGCTCTCTCTCGCTATGTGGGAAGAGCACAAAAGAAAAGGATGGCCTGCAACCTAAGAGCGATGGGCTCCAACCTAGAAGTGATGGCCTCCAACCTAGTGAGAGAGTCACGAGTGCACAAGAGTCTCACACAGTCTGACATATCAAATTTATTCAGGTTTCTCCTCACACGGTCACTCGATGTATTCGCTGGGCACTTTACGGCAACCGTGTATTTTGGCCTTCATGCGTGATCTTGTTAAAAATGCTGGGAGAAGTTAACACAAAGGATTTGGACAAAGTTTTGAGATGGACTATGATGGACTCATGTGGAAATGTGGCGTTTGATGGTGTGTTGTATCATGTTGCTGTGCGATGCAACCTCTCAGTGCGTGTTGAGCGTCGCTGTTTGGGGGTTTGCTTCGAAGCTGTGTTTTCGTGATACTGTTGTTTTGGTTAGTATTGGCATTTGGGATGATATGGATGAGGCAGGGAAGTGCCCAAATCATTTCAACATGTAGTGTGGTGCAAACCTTGCCACAGACACGAAGGTGTGAGATATTGGCTTCCCTGGTGGGTGGAGTACGTGGCACATGTTGGTGATGTTTAAATCAAACTTCATGTCAGGTTGCAACGTTTGGCGCGCATGGTGCCCGAACTTTGCGCTTGAGATTTGCGAAGAACAATAACTTGTTGTTGGAGGCCATCGCTACTAATTAGTAACAAGAAGCTACTAGGGGCTCCTGGCAGCGCTACTAGGAGCAAGGACGCTACTAGGGGGTTTTGGCCGTACTAGGAGCAAGAAGCTTGTTTTCTTAAACGGCAGTGCGGTGTGCTCCGTGTGGCTTTCCGACGAAGTCTCGCGCAAACCACTCGTTTTGGGAAAGAGCGATGGCCTCCAACCCAGGAGGAATGGCCTCCAACCTAAGAGCGATATCCTCCAACTTACTAGCGATGGCCTCCACTCCATTTTTCCATTGTGGGAGACCTGCAGCACAGGACGAAACTTCAAGTTGCCAAGTTTCGACAGCGCGTGGAGCAGACGCGCCGTGGAGGATCTCCAGAGGCCCAGATCGAGATGAACAACCGAAAAAGCACATGCAAAGAAACGATTGATTTGCTTGATGCATTCTTTGTGTTTCTTTTGGTGTGTTTCTTTTTTTCTGCTTTTTTGGGGCCGCTATGTTGTAGCATCTCTTTGAGTTCAGGGAGTGGCCAATTTCTCGACGTACCCTGCACCGTACCATTCGAGCTTTGCCTATGATGAAGATTTGCCCGAAATCTTGGAGGCTCGGAAGGACATGTGCAAGCAGAAGAATGTTGCTTTGATGTTTGATCGATCGAATCTAGACCCTTTATATTTTTTGCCGCCCTTTGTTTTCACTTGTCGGTTTGGGTCATGGCGATTGTCCCCGGTCAGGCTGTGGCAGAGGGAGGTTGTCAAGAGTTGTGGCTTGGTGCAGCTGAAATTTCTCCACAAGGACGGCCAAGAATCGCTTGGTACAGAAGAAGTTCGGATTTTCCTTTTTGTCAATCAAGTCTAAGAGCGATGGCCTCCGACCTTATTAGCGATGGCCTCCAACCTAAGATCGATGGCCTCCAACCTAAGAGCAAGTGCCTCCAACCTAAGAGCGGTGGCCTCCAACCGACTAGCGCTGGCCTGCAACCTACTAGCGATGGCCTCCAATCCAACCTAAGAGCGATGGCCTCCTTGTTTCCTTTTTGAATCATGTCTTCACAGTTCTTCAGAAGCATCTCAAGCATCGAACAGCTTCAGTTATCACACTCAGTCACTAAGTGTTTTATTTGCGGTTGGTACTGGCCAGAAGCTGCAGCGTGCAACAAATTAATACAAGCCGGTGTGGAATGCGGGCCTCCGTTCAGCTTTACCATCAATTGAGTTTTGAGCGGATTCCAACCAAAAACAATGAAATCAACTCGAGTCCACCCGAAAGTTCAGCATTTGGCGGAGTTGTAAAGTAAACGCTGAAGCTCTATAGAAGCCTCCTCAACGTGCTCAAAAGAAGCACTCACTTTGTTTGGAGCTTCAACTCACCACTACTTTCCCATAGTCAAGTGCGGGCTGGTCATTTCCAAAATAGCACTCACCAGAAATCTGTTACCATTCCATTGCCGAGTTCCAAGCAGGTTCAAAGTGATGCCAACCGCTCTTTGTGTCACACTCAAGGAGTCTAAGAGCCTAGCAGTCTAGCAAGGGCACCAATGCAGTCATCGCACTTGCTGCAAGGTACACAGCCCAAGCCGACATTCGTAATTACATGTAATTATTTTGCAATTTGTAAGAAACCATGTTCCGTGTTTCATCTCCGCCTCGGCCAATGCATATCTCCGCCTCGGCATGATGACCATGTCATGCGTCAGGAATCCGAGAGATCGTGGCCTCCATGCAAGACACCACATCCAGCCTACGCCGCTCGAAGTGATGAGACCACGCCAGTGGTTCAGTCATGACAGGTGTCGCATGGTGTCGCCATCTTCACAAGAAAGGCATTTGCCATTGGTGAATGGCAAGTTGTAGACGATGTGTATGGCATCCATCCAATGTGTTGTAAACAATTTGCATACGTTTATCACGAAAGCTAGCCTTAGCTAGCTGGAGTTGCTCTTGCTTTAGCAAGTTAAGTGACGGGGTGGACGCACCTCAGAAACCTCAAATAATTGATTAAATCAATCTTATGGACCCCCCCCCCCCCCCGCGGTTCGACTCCCCCCTGCGCGCGGTGAGCGGGACCACCAAGCAGCTGCAGCACACCAAGCATCTGCAGCGCCCAGCGCAGCAGCGGCAGCAGCAGCAGCAGCCGCAGCAGACCACCCGGCGGCAGCAGCAGCAGCAGCAGACGACCCGGCGCCTGCAGAGCACCCAGCGCAGCAGCGCCCAGCGCAGCAGCGGCAGCAGCAGCACCAGCAGCAGCAGCACCAGCAGCAGACCACCGGAAGCCCGGCTAGCTTTCGTTCACCCCCTCTGGCCTCAAGTTTTTTCCTCTCTTTCTTTCTTCTAGATTCTAGGTTGGAGGCCATGGCTAGTAGGTTGGAGGCCATCGCTAGTAGGTTGGAGGCCATCGCTATTAGCTGTTCTTTCTGTTTGTCTTCCTTGTTGGCATCTTTTCTTTTACATGCACTAGTCGAGTTTAGCCGCTTCTGGATTGGCAGCTTCCATTGGGCTCCTTTGGGAGACCCATTCAGAACCGATTCTGATTCTGGATGTCTTTTCCCAAAGCCGTCCCGATCGCCTCGAAGTGGATTGGACCAGGGTGCGTAGACAGGCGTGGTGTTTCGCATGGGTTTTGCCTTTTCGTGTAGTATTTGAAGTACTTCTGAGGTTTCCTTCAGGTTCATCGAGTACCAAGTGACATGTGAATGCGTGCGGTGCATGGGCTAGGGGTAACAATCGATTCACGTAGCAAGGGGTGGGGTGGGAGAAGAGTCGCGTACAGGCTTGGAGGCCGTCGCTACTAGGCACGGAACTCATTGTCAATTCCCTCTAGTCAGCTGAAGCCACATCAACAACGACACCGTAGGAGAGGCTAAGGGTCTACAACGCGACGTATGCATAAACGAAAAATCCTTACAAAACCTCACGGCCATCTATGAGCTGTGGCCCTGCCCTGGTTCATGCCGAAGTTCTCCAACATCCGCCATGTCAACCAGCATTGTGTAATAGTCATGTTGTCTGACTCGTTCTACACAAATGCACGCAGGCAGACTCGGAAGATTTAGAGATGAGGTATGGTTTGCTCGTTTTTGCTGGGGCTTGTTTTCCGGGCAACTCTTGCCTGCTGTCTCTCAAAAATCTCTCCAAAAGTGTTGGCTTGATGTTTGCATTGGCGTGTGCACTTTTGGAAGGTGCTTGAATCATGCAACTGACTGAAGAGATCATCCTGAGCTTGTGTTTGGGTGCAAAGGAGGCTTTTTATTTGTACCCTAACAATCTTTGGGCTCTCAGATGCGAGGTTCGGTATCTGCATCGTAGGGTTTTGGTCTCAGGCCTTCGTTTGGAGGGTTCAGGCGAGGGTCCGGACCCTCGCCAAAAAGTGGCGAGGGTCCAAGGGTCCAGGGTGGGAGCGAAGTTGGACAAGACTGTTCATGACATGGAACAAGGACAATCAAGTTCATGAACTTGCAACATGTGAAGTTCACGATCAGATTTGATCGACTTGAACATTAGTCATCCATGGCGATGACTTGGTGGCGATGCCGCAGCGGCGCTTCGTTGGAACAGGACGGACCAAAGGGATGGTTGACCATGTGGCGCAAGTTCTTTTTCCATACGCCGAGCATTCATATGCAAGTGTCACTGTCAAAGAGCGAATGGTCTGTGAACCCTTTGGCAAATCATGTGTAGATTGAGACATTGCAGCATTTTTGGGTCTTCAGTGACTGGGGTATAGGGAAGTGAAAAATCATGGCAAACCCTGCGCCTTTGGACGGAAAAGAAGATGAGGTCAAAAGCAACTTGGCTTTAAGCTCGCATGACACAGGAATAAAAGCATGTCCTGCCGATTGCTGTAGTGATTTGTTTTGAAAACACGGTCCATGATTCGGGTGAAACTGTGGATTCATGATGCGAGGCCATGTCTTGACCCATTTGCCTGGCACTGTCTGCACGGAGTGTGGTGCAAAAGACTATCCTCTGAACACGCTGTTCCCAGATGTGAACCCTTTGGCAGTTGGGTTTCCTGACATGGAACGCTACTTACCATTAGTCCTGGCTCTCTATGATGTCTCCCCGATGGGAACCTGTTCAGCAAATTACGGACTAGATATAGTCGAATCACTAGCCGAATCATGTTTCATGGATGAATCATGTGATCCAACCACGGGTTAGATTGCACTGCGTTATAAGGAGAATATACTGTTGGCTTCTTGGAAAAGATCTTTGCCAACATTGACCGTGAGTGTGATTTCAAGCTCAGCAAATGCCGGTATCTTCGAGATAGGGCAAAGTGGGCAAACACGGAACCTCATTGTGAAAATTACATGGCCACCAGTTGACCCAAATGGTTCTTCAGGCTTCGCATGTCTGGCCGGCTCTCAGGAAGCATATGCGCTCTTCGCCATCCTTGCCTACAGTCGACGATACTGGAGGAGAAGCATGAAAAAAAGGACCGCTTCTTGTCTTAAGATTCTATTTGTTTAGCGAGCTAGCTGCTAGCTGTTTCCTGCATGTATGGATGTGTTTTCATGAATGCGTATTCGATCAACATCATGATATCCTAGGTCAATGACATTGCAGCACAACTGCAAGCTGTAATGCAAAGGAGTCCAAAAAAGGCTCGTCACGTGGTCACTAAAGATTCAGAAGCTCCCTGCCTCGTCGACAAGGGATTGAACGAGAACGACGGAGGCAACCAGGTTCCTCCAGTGGAGATCGAGGTGTGGGAAGTATCTGATGACGATGGAGAAGAACACTCTCCGCCCTCTTCGAATGGAGGCTATGGGGTTCATGTGTCATTTCGAGTTCTAGTAACTGACTGTATGCATTGTGACCATTGTGCGCATATGGATATGTGTCGTCTGTTGAGCAGGACCGAATGCTAATGCACCATCTCGTGTCAGCAACCAGGCATGACCTTACCATCTCGAACCTACTACGGGAATGTCAATCATGACATTTGCACTTCTACTTACTTCCATGGTTTAGTGGCATCCTTCTCAATGTGACTTCAGTGCCGCTTCTGAGTTCTCCGGGCAGGTGGCGAACCATGAATTGCCAGCGGAGAAGGTGACAATCTTAAGACATCAAGGGTCCTGTCAGGGTTCCATTGTCCATGGTCTTGCTTTTGTTTTGTCCATTGTGCACAAACATTTGTTTCCCATGCAGGAAACTGAGACTGAGACTGTATGCTATCAAACGTTCGCTGATGACCAGGCTCACCAAAGCCTTGTTTTTTTGAAACGCAGGTTGTTACATGTTCTTGGCAGGCTCGTCAACCCGTTGAAATCGAACAAACCCAACGTGCTGGAATCGACCAGGCCCTCTCAAAACATGTGTTCAATTTCTTTCGATCGCATATTCACAATTGTGTTGGCACAGGCAGTGCCCGACACTTTCTTGGAGGAAACCTTGTGCTACGCCAACTGCACAGTGGAAGAGTCTCAGGCTTGCCTGAACAAAGTGTTCATCATACTGTATAAACGACCCGGACCATGTGTATCCCTGTGCGAAAGGAGTATGCGACCGCGCCTGGTTTGGAGACCTGTGACAGCTCTCAGGCAGGATTCCGGGTCATAGGGTCAGATTCAGAATCATATGGGTTGAACCTTTTTTTCGAATTTAAACATGTTTGAGAATGTTTGAGATGGGTATCGAAATTCACCCGGCTCTGACAGGTCCACGCAAACCACCTCACGTTGAACGAGGTTGCTTGGACCTGGGCTTTGCGGTTGTCCTTTCACTTTAAGGGACAGTTGTTGTGTATTATGTGCGTTTGGAGGTACCTGACCAAAGCAAAGAGGGTGCTGCAGCGAGTGGTTCTCATGATGAGGCAAGCCTCTATGTTGGATTAGATCTCTGGGCGTGTGAAACATAGATTGGTTCAATTGTTCGCCTCGATAGGCGGAAGCACCTATGATCTCAGTATCTCCGGAATTGCCGGTTCGGGCCTTGTCTGCCGGCATGGGAAGCATACCCATGAAGGTTCACCTGTGACAGTTGGTTCAGGTTGATGAAGACCCTGCTTCTCGATTGGGGACGGTGGGCAACACGTGTCTTATGTCATGTAATGTCAGTCTTGTTTTCCTATACTGTGTGTAGCATGCCTGGGCAGGCTCGCATAATTGTGCTTGACGATGAGGATACTGTTTGGTTGCCCAGTGTTTTACTGATTCCACCACTAAGTAGCTAAAGCATGTTGGCTGCATGAGGACCATGGGGACGATGGGACTACTACTATGGATCGTCTTGGCCAAGAAATGGTGCGCTTCCTGGGGTCACACAAACTGAAAACTTTTGTCTTGGAGATTCTTGGAGTGTACATGCAAGGCCAGTTTGTCCATGCAAAGCGACGGATCGTGCTACCCAAATGCCAGACTCTTATTGATAGGTCTTATCCATAAGTCCTTGAATCATTGAAAGGACTTTTGATCCCTTTTGGTAGCTCAAACTATGGATTTCATAATTATGATTTGAGCCTCTTCCCATTGATGCCAATGAGGCATCAGATGGTTGGTGCATTTTCCAAACATCACCCGTGGGATTCTCAGAACCTCAGAGCTCCTCTTCATAGAACGTCTATATATGGTTTGAACATTGAACAGATCAGGTGCAACAAGTGATTCTTCCAAATGTCATGACTAGAGCGTCGACGACGGCGACAGTTGAGGCGCATGTCTCATCTCCCACATTTCCATGCAACACAGTCACTGGCCGAGCATGGCAACTGTCGCAGGATCCACGCCTTGAGGGAAACCATGGTGGTCGAAGCAAGGCCTCAGCCCAGGAGGCAATTTGGGCTTTGCAACCTCTATGCAGCATTTACATGTTTGCGCGTTGTTGGGGTGTGTATGCTTCGAGTAGTGTGTTTTGTGATTTATTTCTTGTCTTGCCAGGAGATTTGCATGAAGGTTCTCCAGATCTTGCAACGGGAGAACTTCAAGATTCGAGAGGGGGGTGAGCTCCATTCGTTTATGGAGAAGTACGTGCCGAACATTCGAATCCCTGTCGGTATGTTTGGTGGACCACCCTCTTCATCTTTCACATCTTCGAAGGAACCCATGGGTTTGGCCAAACAAAAGCTGTATATGTAAATGTGTTTTTTCTTTATATAGGGGATGGTTCGGGGCGCCCCTCATGGCTCGATCACTGCTGTTGTCAGGAGAACACTCAAGCCAGTGCAGCGCTCGAGGATCAGCCTACAAAGATGTCCGCCCTTGTTGAAGATGCTCATCCTGGGGTCTTGGTGAGTGATGCTGCCAGACCACTTCGACTTCGACGTTTGCGGCCTTTGGTTGGGACAAGCCATGACGAGGACCAGTGCAAGCGTTCCCTGGCTGACCAAATGGAGCTTGTGGCCAAAGATGCTGGCGGCACGCGATGGCTGGGGCAGAGCCAGGTCTTGGAGCGCTATGGCAAAAGCCAAAGCTTGGAGGGCTTTGAACGCATCGCACACCCTGATGCTCCTGACAGCCGCGAGGCTGACCTATACCATGTCGAGGAAACTTCAAAGGACCATGCAAGCAGGACCGCTCCTGAAGACAATGCTGAGAACAATTGGGAGGACTTGGTTCGAAAGGCCAAAGAAGCAGCACCCATGCTGGCCCAACCCCAGGAGGAGGAAACGTGGAAGGACCTGGTTCGTCGGGTTGGGCCAAAGCACGCACTTTCAGTTCAAATGGAACGAGAGGCCATGGAGGTGTTGTCTTCACAGCCAGTGACGGCGGCTGCTGAGGGAGCTTCAAGTGGCACAAAAGATGCCAAGAAGATCAAGAAGTACCAATTGCCTCCTCAACCTTCTTTCGTCGATGACATGAAGGCACTTGCTGAAGGTGAGGAGCCACCAGTCTATGCTGAACAGGGCCGTGACATTGGAAAAACTCGAGGCAGGAAGCCAAAGAGAGATTCAGGCAAACGCAAGCCTGAGGAAGAAGATGAACCTGTGGCACCCAAACGTGCCAAGAGGCGAACAAGGGCGGCTTCCCGTGCAAAAGCCGTGGAGAAAGGAAGTGGTGCAGCATCCAGTTCGAGGAAGAGGGCAAAGCCTTCAGATCGAGCCTCTGCAGAGTCTGGGGCGAAGCGACGCAGACCTGCGAAGCAGGCAGGCAACCAGGTGGACAATGGCTCATCAATGAGCCCTACGGCTGCAAGTTCTGCAAGATCTGCACGGAATGGATCGAGAGCTGCAAAGCTTCCACCAAGCCAACCTGCAGCAGCCGGTGATGGATCATCGGAGCAGCTGCCGGTTCCCCATGGACCACAGAGGAAGCCCCCCGACCATGTGACATCGAACCATGTGTACAGCAGTGCCCATTCAAAGCACCGCCACCTGGGGGCTGAGGCTGCCAGGGCTGCTGCCAATGCAGCAACCCGTTTGTTTCGCGAGACCGGCTACGTCGATGATCTTTGTGGAGTGTTTCGATCAAGTCCAAAGATCAAAAAAGACGATGCCCAACCTGAATCTGTGAAGGCAAAGACCTGCAAAGCAGGGGAGCCATGATGCAAGGGGTTTAACAGTTTCTGCTAGCTGCACGTGTTTTGCACACGTAAATGCACAAGGCATAGCTAGCGCTGCATCTTACTGCCGGGCAAACATATGCCAATTTGATCGCAGCTCATGGAGCTGAAAGCTAGGCTCATCACAGCGATGACACCAGGGGGAAAAGTTGTTTTATGTTGTTTTGTTTGCATTGTATTGCATGAACTGTTTGCAAGGTCTCCCAACATTCGTGCAGAATGGTCGCATTGCACAGCATGAGTCAACGTGCTTTGTCGCTCATTCCCGAGCTCAGTGCATCTCAGTGCCAAGGCTCACGCATGATTCACACGCAGGTAAGCCCGTCCTGGCTCAAAAAACGAGTCAGGTGTCTTCGTCATTGCATCTTGTTTGGTGACCATGGCTACCAAAAGGCCTAGGCGAGATGGGCTCGGGGATGGATGCATAAAATAGATTATAACTTCCGGGAGTGTTCATCGAAGGGTTGTTGGAATATGTTGGAATGGGTGTTTCACTATTTTTGCAATCTTCGGTTGCTCCGTCTCGTGTGTTGGTTGCAGGTCCATTGAGATCGATGAGGACAAAGTACCTCCCCGTATTCCTATTCCACGTGGCTTGGGGGCTGGTCCAAATCGTCCAGGATTCATGCCACTACGCTTGTTGATCTTGATCGATATGATCAAAAAGGCACTCTCACTTACACTACTATGATCTTTGTAGGACACGCACGATGGAAGTTGGGTATAGTGTTTGGTGGAGCCCTGTCTGACCCGCGTCCTGCGCCTGCTTGCTGGAGGCATTTGCACCACCTGTGGAGAAATATCACAACATTGACTACTTTGCTGGCAAGTGCGCCATCAGCAAGGCTTTCAAGGCAAAGGGTTATGGTGCTTTGGATATTATACTGAATCCTCTTGATGATGCTAGGCAAAAGTCTTGCTTGCACCACCCAGAAACTACGTACGTGTTGTTTAGATCATTGACCTTGACTTGGCAGTCTGTCAATAGCCCGCCAGCAGTATGCGGCCCGAGGACATCAATTCACCAGTTGGTTTCATTCGCCACCTGTACGCTGCTTGTCACATAGCCCGTGGAGGCTTGGGGTGCATGGGCATCGTTTGTTCCACCTGGGTGGCCATAAACAGACACTTGGTCCAAACAGAAACAAAACAACTGTCATGAGTCAGGTGCCCTTCTATGATTCACATGCAAACATGATTTATGATTTATGCTCTAAGGAGGCACGAGTGGAAGAACTGCTGAAGATCCATTGGGACGAACGTGTCTTGATTCTTGTTTTTGGTGCACGCATAGCTGTTTGCTTTGGAATGTGGTCATGTGTGGCCATATATGGCCAAACTAGCTGGTTCAGGTGGTATCCATCAGTTGCACGAGCAAACCTGATGCTAGTGCGAGCACGGCGCTTAACTTCGGGGTTCTGCAATTAACAAGCATATGTAAAGAACATAGGATCCTACTAGTAGATGTTTATTGTTTGATCGGCTATGTTTTTTATGGTTGAACTGTGTTTGATCACAGGCAGTTCTTATCATCCACACCATCCTCTACCACCAGGGCCACTGGATGTTGGAAAATCCACTCTCCAGCATTGCCGGAACCCTAAGTTGTTTGCATGTGGATGGGGCCAAGAACATAGTGTTAATGAATCTTCCTCACACCCCCCAGCGAGTCAACGATCGGCCTCTGGTGACCTAGATCGACTTGGCTCCACGGTTGGCGACCTTGATGCAGCACCGTGTTGCGCACCAAACCATGACTTGGTTGGGCATGTATGGCGGGACAACTCAGAAACCGGTGAAACTGTTTTCGAGCGACAAGTTTGTTCACCGCTTGTACAGGACTGCACTGCTAAAAAATGTTCAGATGTAGCCATGATCCTCCTCAAGTCACCCGTGGACCCCTTCAAAACGAAAGTGGTTGTTTTGCCAACAGCTTCACCAGTGTTACACCGCTGCATCCTCACCGCTGATTGCCCGCAGGAAGCTGGAGCGTTCTCGCTTTCCAAAATCCAATACGACTATCAAATATCGCAATGCCCGTGGAGAATGGAAATTCAAAGGGTCTGATCAATTGAAGGTATCTCAAGTCTATCCACCAAAATTTGGGCAGGCTGTGGCTCAGTGGCAAGTACTTTGGTCGATGGGTGGGGTGTGATCACGCATGTATACACATCTTATAAAGCAACTATCCAAGCCCACTGACTTCAGGTGGCTACGGAGTGGGATACCTGGGCTGTGCAGTACCCCAAGAACCGCAAAGTCATCGATTACTCGAATGACTTATGGAATGATGCAAAATTGGATGAGGTTGAAGCCTGGTTGGAAAACCACCTGGCAAATCGCGCAAACAAGCGCCGTGTAGATCTTTGGGAGGTGGAGGGCTAATTTTTGAAATGACCCTCACAGGTGATGGGCAGCCTGTTGTTGGAACAACACCGGCTGTCTTGCAACATCTTTAAGTTCGTAATTCAGCTATGCACGTGTGTATGTCAGGGCCTGTGATCCTGTTCATGGCCTGTGATCCTGTTCATGGCCACACGCCCTCATGAAGCATATTCAACCAGTGCAATCCAAATGAGCACGACCGGAAAACCATAAATTGTGTGCGTGCATGGTGTTGTTGTGGATATGTGAGTTTGCATGCACATGCATACACGCATATGCGGACGCTGCGTCGGATGGCGTCGGATGGGCGTCGGATAGGATTGGGTGGACCCTCGCGGATAAAGCCCTGGGAGGGACCGGCCGTCGGATAGCATCGGATAGGTATGTAGTGTTTCACAAGGGGTTCATCGGATGGCGTCGGATGGCCGTCGGATAGGATTTGGTGGACCCTGGGACATAAAGCTGTGGGAAGGACCGGTCGTCGGATAGCGTCGGATAGGATTTGGATGAGCCATTTGGTTCAATCACGTGCTGTGCAGTGTATCCCTGCGGGGAGAAGTCAGGGATGCCCCCGAAGGCCGACGCCGACAGACAGGAGTGTGGCACTTCGTCCCTTCATTTGTGTAGCTGTGCATAGTTTGGCAACAGGTGAAAAAACATAGATCGTCAACGGCCCTAATCCATGCATGCAGGAGATCAGGTATGAGCAGGCAACTGCATCGGAGATCCAGCAGTTCTTTGGTAAGTTTGGGGGTGAGGCCGGTAGGTGTGTTGGCAGTTTGTCAAGACCATGCAGTCCCACCCAGTTCTGGTTGTGACCCATCGGTGATTTTGCAAGTACTTCCCAAGGGTCCCAAGCCCAGCGGCTTGAGAGCTATGTCTGCCTATGCGATGGTTGAGGCCTGAAAAGAAGAACTCTAGGTATGGTTACTGCATATTTCTCTCATGCAGGATGGCACCATGGACACTGACACCGTTCCAGGAACCGATTCGCAAGTGACCGAGGCTCCAAGCTAGCTTCTTTTGTATGTCTCGCCTGTCAAGACAATTGAGATGAACAACTTGCATAATGCCTTTGTTGTGTGACTGTTTGGGGTTTACGCGTGATCAAGAAGCCTTGCAGGCCTGTAGCTCTACTTATCGGTGGCCAAACAACCTCGATGTGGAGGCTACACAAGATTCTCAAATGCATATGATGGAGCCCCTTGTCTGTGAGAGGATGAACTTGTATACGGATAGTTTGTGTATCACGTTGAAGCTACATGACTAGCTGCTACATTATGGATCTTCTTTGTGCACACAGTGACATATATGACGACATCCTAGGTCCATGTCACCTGCAGCGGACACACATGTCGATAGTTTGCCTTCTGTGAGTGTGGTTCCTGATCCCTCAACAAGGGACCACATCCAAGTCAAGCGAGAGCTGGTTGCTCCGTCCCAGGCCTGCAAACGGCCAAAATTCTCGACCATCATGACTCCTCCCAAGGCAAGGTGTGTGTCAAACCGTCGAGGCCTTGACACCACCCCTGACATCGTGACGCCAGAGAGCAAACCACTTGGGACACCAGTTTTTACACCTACTCCACCGAAACACTTTCCAGGCAAGTCGGAGGAGAGGTCTTTTTCAACTTCTGAAGTGGCAAAGCTCCGACAAGTTGCTGTACCCAAGCCTTCGTGCAAGGCACATGAAGCAATCATGGCTGTTTCAATGGCACCGCCAAGCAGAAAAGTGGAGACGTCCGCGCCGTGCAGCAGGAAGTCAAGTCCTGCTACACCTCCAGCTGTGCCCAAGACACTTGGTGCCCCACATCCAATGCAACCACAGTTTCCCCCAGCTCAAGCAAAGCCTCACCCAGTGCCTCCTCCGACTGTTCTGCAGCTCCCTCCGACTGCACCATGCCCAGTGCCGAAACCCAGCAGGCAGGCCCCCTCCAAGGTGGAGCCAACCTCCGGTGAGTCCCCCATTGCAAAAAAACCACCCACTGCAGCAAGCGCTGGAGGACCTGACCTGTCAGAACCTCCCAACGAGCCAACCAGGTCGCTGGCACTGAAACCGAGCGATCAGGCACTGTCCAAGGTGGAGCCAACCTTTGTTGCAGAAACCAGCCAGCCATCACACGTGCTCCCAGCCACTGCAGCAAGCGCTGTAGGGACTAACCTGTCAGAACCTCCCAACGAGCCAGCCAGGTCGCTGGTACCGAAACCTAGCAAACAAACACCATCCAAGGTGGAGCCAAGCTACGTTGCAGGACCCAGCCAGCCAGCCATCACAGAATCACAGGTGCTCCCAGCAGCAAGCGCTGAAGGGCATATCCAGTCAGAACCCGCCAACGAGCCGACCAGCAAGTCTGCTTCTGAAGCCACCAAGCCAACACCTAACGCTGCCAAGCCCTCTGGTCAAGACCAGACAGAAACATCTGTCGACCCAGTGCCAAAGGCTGTGAACAATGCAGCATCTAAATCTGTGGAGGATATGGGTGTTCACTTTCAGAGTGAGTTAGAAAAACATATTGCGAACTTGGGGAGTGACAATACTCACGATGCCCTCTTGGAGGCCGACCAGGAGAACGACGATCCTGTTCGCACTTGGTTGTGCAAAATGGATGATGTGCAGATGAAACGGCAAGTGGAAGCTGCCAAAAGACATCCCTTGCTGGAAACCTTCTTGCGTGTGGAGATTGGGCTTTCTGGTGAAGAAGTTGGGTTAGAAGCTTCAACTTTCGGTAGTCATGACGACATGGAAGAGTTGCACAGCTTCTACACATGGCTAGCTGTGGCAGACCGTCCTTCTGCACCAACTCCACCTCCAGCGGCAGTGGATCCAATGCCTCGGTCAATACTGAAGTCGAGCAGTGGACACCCTCCGAAACATGATGAAATCATCATCGAGGATTCGCTTCCTGACCAACACACCCCACCAGCTGAAGTGGTGCCTCAACAGGCAAACAATGCAAACACACCCAGTGCAAAGGCTGTTGGTGCAGCGCCAACCCCAAAGGTGGCACCTGATGTTCATCGGCCGAAAAAGGTTTCCTTCGTGGAACCGTGTGTGGCATTTCCTGCCACTCCAGCGAATGCCACACCCCCCAAAGCACCGTGTGTGGCACCTCCTGTGGCACCTCCTGGCACTCCACTGCCTGCCACTCCAGCAAAGGCCACACCACTGGCCCCACCCCCTAAAGCCAACACTGCACAACCAGCTGCAGCACGCGGTGACATTCAAGTCCTACCTGGTGGGGTCTCTTGGCAATGAAGTCATAGCTGAGGTATAGAATATGGTTTTGCAGTGCGACCTTTCTGTTGATGCTTGTTGTATTTGTTCATTGCCTTGGCCTTTCACATAGGCTGCCCCGGTGACCTTTGATACCTATGATGAAAGGCAAAAACACTATGCTCACATGAAAAGGCACATGTTTTGCATATACGCTGTGTTCCAACCATGCACGAACAAACAATTGTGGATTGGTGAAAAGTAGATCATATGGAAACATGCCTGCTGTGCAGGCAGCTGGATTCTGACCGTCCTGAAGCTTATCAAATTCCTGCAGAAATCGTTTCAGCATGGAAGACGGCTGTGCAGAACAAGAGCAAGGCTGCCAAAAATGCTGTTTTCACAGCATTTTTGCAAGCTGGAAAAGATTGGGGTCGGTTCCCAAACTGCAACAAGTCCTTTGTCACATGTTTCTCAACGCCCTCCCATATGTTTCCTCACTACCACAATGTGTTTGAGGCTGCGCGTGAGCCACACCAGGACCCGGACGGAAAGCACCCAAGGGCGATGTCAATATGGTCAACTCCTCAGCTCGGAATTCTTTGGACGTGTTTTTGTTCGTACCCTACATCACCACCCATGGAAAACCGTGTTCATTCCCAGGTTGGAAGACTCGTGACCAACTCCTGACCCACTACGGTGGAAACGTGGCGTTGGTCGATGCTATAATCGACAAAAAAATTGAGACACATCAGTACAGGGATCACCCTGACGCTCCAGGTAGCCCAGATGCCATGCTCTACTACTGCTTGCTTGACATGAGTATGACTAACTCTGAAGATACTTCAGAATCGATGTCCACAAGAGTTGATCTATCCATCGAAGCTGGATCTCAGGCGGGTATGTGTGGTTGGCCACTTCACTATTAGTGGGACTTGAAGGTTTTGTGATTGAGGACTTGATTGAGGATACCTTTCGCTGAACCTTTATACGGGGGTCTTTGGTAGTCTGTTGTCTTCTCAGCCCGATCGGAGGCCGCTATGCAGATGGGCAATGCTGACCTGACGCAGCACCTGCTGCACAACAATGCATATGCACCAAAGGTCCCACAGTTGCAGCACCGTGGTGGATCCGACCACAACCCTGGCTCTTCATTCGACGCGGCCTCTGGTTCCGATAGTCGGCAGGTACCAAAACCAATCCCTGTCCCAGACACGGGGAGACAGGATCCCCCCCCAGAAGTACCGATCCCAGAAGAAGATCCCAGGCCGAAGAGAAGGAAGCCCTTTGGTTTTCAATATTGTGTCATTGTACGCATAGAACACATTTGCAACACTAGCACAGGGGATATATATATATATATACATAACCACCTGAGGTCTACTGAAATGCCAGAAGATGCCCGGGAAGCTATTGTTTGGTTGGTGCCCAAACTGTTGAGCCAACTGCAGGAGGCAAAGGTTTGGCCACTAAAGTTGTCCCACCTGAAACATCAGGAATCTTTGTGCATTACAGCTGCATTTGAACATGTTTGCATCATGTTGTGTGGTTCTCGCTTGCAGCTGTTTAATGGAGATGGTAGCTCATTTGCCTTGTCCAAGGTACGAGCATGAAGGCTCACTCAGACGAGTCAGACGAGCTTGAAAAATCATATTTTCAGCTCAATGGCATCGCGGCCCAGGACATGTTCTCTCTATAGAGGTTGTTACGTCTTTTCCGTAGCTGACCACAGCAACCTTCATGGCCCTTACTTTAAACGTACAACTTGGGGTCCACCACATTTGGAAGAAAGGATCTCATATGGTTTTCAGAAAGTAGTCGCACCCGCAGGATCCCAGCTCACTTGTTCAGAGCGTGGTGGAGGCTGCCAAAACGCTTGCACTTCAGCGAATGGAGCTTTACGCCGAGGACAATGTTCTACTGCAGCGCATGGAATGAACAATATATAAGTTTTTACATAGACCATCATGGGCACAAATCGTGTTGTTTACACGTGTGAGGATAAAGCTTCAGCTACGCAGCTCACCAGACCCAAAAACAAAGGGAAGAAGGCCCAGGGTTGATCGAACATGTTCTTCATTCAAAAAGACCTGATTGGACTAGCAACAAACTCTGTATTCCCAAGCTCCCATTCCAAAGCACATCAAGCCCGACATTGATGACAGGCGTCCACTGATGGCGGCAACGCCACTCCAGGTGCAAAGGCGACACCTGCCAGACGGGTTCGTGGCAAAAAAGCCGCATGACCTTTGACTAGAGAGGTGCACCATACTTTGCGAAGCCAAGTGTTGGGCCTCTACATTGCAGCACGGCACGTGTTCAAGTTTTCCTAAAAGCTTGAGAATCCTTAGAGCCTTAGAGGGTTGGATCAACCACCTGCGTTGATCTCTTGGGGTGGTGATGACCACCATCTGTGAATGGGTGAAATTGGAAGAAACATGACTCTGCATTTGCGGTGTCGATGAGCTTCGTATGCAAGTCATTCAAACTAACTTCACCTTTACACCCACACTTCTGGTTTTTAGATCTTTGAGATTGATGCAGGACCTTCCTGGCAGAAACGTTTGAACGCCAAGAAGGACTTGGACGTCCAACCATCCACACATCCATATATTGCATCGTATGCCATATACCAACATGTCATATGTCTTACTGTTGCCTTTTAATCTTACCCAAGTTGACCATGTGGAACCATGGAACCTTTTTGGGCATCCAAAAACATAACTATTTTCGGAACAACGACTCTGTGCTGTTGGCGCCTCCGCTTCCCATTGAGGAGGAGCAAAAAACATCACGGCCTGAGTTGGCGCCGTACACGCCGGCTCATGTGGTGGCTGCGAGTAAGACTGTGACCCGACCGAGAGAAGATGTTCCAGACTTTCCCTCACTGATTGTTGGCAACTTTGCCTCAGGGAAGTCAAGTGCCCTCACAGTATCTTGAATTCAATTTGGACAAACAGTATATTTTTTGATTTCCAATACTTTGCATTCCATGTGTGTCATGACTATGACTATACGGCTAGACTTAGCCCCTGAGAGGCGCAAAAAAACAGCTGCATCTGCCATGAAGTGGTGTGAACAACAGGGAGGACACCCGGACTCGCAGGATCATGTGAGTCGAATTGCTAGACTTGGTGCTTCTGGCAAGTTTCCTGGGAGCGTTGAGCGTGACATGCACACCTTCTTGAAGGGATTGAACCAGCGATTGGGTGCCAAAATCTCTACTATCAGGGCAAGGCGTGGGTGTCAAACCAATGTTTCACTATGGAGGGGTGCAATGTAGTTGACACCCTCAAGGGATCTGTTAACAAAATTTTGATGTACAGCACCCTAAAAACACCAACAACCACATGGCAGGATGTACAACCACACCGCTGCGAGGGAGGAGTGGCAACCAATGGAAATCCTCTATCCTGACGACCTTGCATCAGCATTGTTTTCGAGAAGCAAAGAAGCTTTCATCAAATGTATGTTTGCTGACGTGGACGCCGATCGATTTTGGAACCATTGTGCTGCACACTGTGAGTGGTTCAAGCAGCACAGCTTGAACACTTACCCACGAAGGGACCGCTTGATCCCTTTTTCTCTTTACGGAGACGATGTACAATGTTACAGAAATTCTGAAGTGGGCACTGTGTCAATCATAGCGTGGACAAGTGACTTCGCTTATGGCAACACATCTCTTTGCCGTTATTTCCCTATAGCTGTTTACTCTGAGCACTGCAGCACCGTGCCTTTGACAATATGAAGGTATGTGCATCTGTTTTTGTTGGACCCATGACCATCATCTTAAACATAATGTTTGTTTTTTGTGAAGTGTATGTTTTGAAACGGCGTCCTCCACCATGTCAGGAGAACACTCACGACGACATTATGAAGTGTGTCATGGCCCGGCTGAAGCAGATGTGTTCCTGCGAGCACCTGTTTGATTGGAGCGCTGATGGGTTTTGCTTTATGTTCTCCAGCGTTCAGGGGGATCTCAAATGGATATTTGACCGCTATGGTTTGCACAACTTCCACGCAAATGCGTGTTGCAGCTTATGTGGCGCGGTTAAGAACCATGCGAATTTGAGCATGACCATTGCCGACTTCAGACCAACAGCTGCTCACATCAACTCCGAGCCAGATCTGAGTGGCTTTCTCGCCAGGAACTCCTCAGTGTTTCAGTTGGCCACCCGCGACAGGGTGTTGCATGATGTCATGCACGGACAACTGCTTGGAACAGGAAAGGTGTTGAACGGGAGTGTGCTGGTTTACATGTGTGAATCTGGTGTGTTTGGAGATTTTCAGCCAGGAGGAGCTGGTATTTATGAACAGTGCTTGGAAAGTGTATTACGTGCTGCGCACTGTGACTTCTTGAGGTTCAAAAAAGAAAGGGGTATCCAAACTGTGCAACCTCGCTTTACACCTTCAAGGTGCTCAAGGAAGACTAGAATGCAATACCCGGTGCTTTCTAGCAAGGCAGCAGCATCAAAGGCCGTGACCATGTGGCTGGCAAATCGTGCCTGCAGTTTTGCTCTCCGAGATGGTGCAAGTGAAATGGATCGCCTTGTTTGCACATGCGTTCAGACGTATGCGATGGCTCTCAATATCATGGACGATTGTGGCCTTGTGATGACGGCGGGGGAGTCTGGTGCATTTTACGATGCCATCATGACACACCTTCAAACCTTTGCATTGCTCAACAAGCGGTCTCGGCAGTTGACTGGACGCGTGATTGGGAGGAATATGTTTATTCTTTTGCCGAAGCATCATCATTTGATGCACGCTGCACAACGCACCAAGCTGGAAAGGATCAATCCAAGATCGTGGTCGCTGTTCAGCGGCGAGGATTTCATTGGCCGCATCGGCCGTATTGCTAGAGTGTGTCACAGGAGCACCGTTTCATTTAGAGTTCTTGAGCGCTACTTAGCTCTCATGTACTTGGAGCTGGCTAAGCTAATCCCATAAGTGCCATACGAAGCATGATCGACGAGTGCGCATGTGAGAAAACATGTTGTCATTTGCATTCAGCACTGATCTGGGCTCCCGGGCACTGTGTCTCAGGTTGTTCGAAAGGTTTTGAGCCAAAACATCATCGCCGGACCCTCCTTTCGAGGGTCCACACGAGGGTCCACTCTTTGCTGAACCCTGCTGAGATTTTGGCCACGTACCAGCCACCCGTCCAGGGACCCACGACGTCCCAGATTCTTAGGGTAGGCATGTTTTGAGTGTGGACGGGAAGAAGATAACAGCAGCACAGAACAAACAGCTAGTCTTGTGCTGCTTTGCTTCTGCTCCGCTCGCTGCTGCTGCGAGGTACAGGGTGGTTGGAATGCTGGTTTGTCTAGTAGGGAGTTGTCGCTTTGCAGTGTGCCCATGCGGCTTGGAATCTTGTCTATGGGAGGTATATGGGTTGAGTCGCCCCTTGGAGTGTGCGCAAAGTTTGGCAGGACATGCCATGGTGCGTTTTGGGACAAAAGGACTTTGTGCTCGTGGGCATGTCTTCAGTGGGAATGAAAGGAGACAGCAGCGGCACAGAAGAAACAAATAGTTCGGCCGCCGCTGCATTTCTGCTCTCTTGGTGTATTGCTTGGAGTGGCTCGACTGGCTCGAGATTGGTCGCATGAAACACTGCAGTTGCTACAGCATATATGTTCTGCTTGGTGCCTCTCGATGCCTTTCGCCAGCGGCACCTGTTGCGCACATTGCATGATTCCGCGGGAGCAGATTAGCTAGGGGCACTTTGGCTCTCACGAATTGGTGGCTGAAATTGGCCATAATTTTCATGTTTCTTGTTTTTTGTCGTATATAACGGTTCCTTCTTTGCTGTTGGGAGCGAAGGCAACCGAACTGAACCAGATTCATCGAACTTTATCCCGCGTTACTCCTGTTTCTCCCCATCCACATTCCAGACATGTCCGCCAAATTCCACGAATACAATCTCAACCATTTCTTGTTCAGGCTCTCAAACCCAAAACATCGCGGCAAGGATGCAATCTCGATGAGGATTCTTATTGAAAAAGCAAGGAGACAAAAACCCAGCCTTTCTTGCTCTTGGGGTGGAGACCAGTCCGAGCTGCAGTGCCCGTCGGTTTCCTCCCTTGGGCTTCACTTTGGCTGGGAAAAAAAACAAATGCAAATCACATGCACTACAGCGACACAAAAAAGGAAGACTGAAACACAAGCCAATGAAATATCTGCAAAAGAAAGAACATATCGGAAAAGCAAACAAAGAAAACAAGAAAACATCTCGAGGTCACATCGACTTGGCAGGTTGCTCCTCTGCAGCACTTCTTGGGGTACCTTGGCGACGAGAAGACGGCACAAGTGCCGTTCATTGAAACATGTCGAATCACTGGTTGTCTTCATGAAACAAAACATGTGTGTTTTTGTGTTTTTGTTTTTGCTGGTGTTTCATTGTTGTTGTTCCTTCTCTTTGGGTTCTTGATACATATATATATACACGGACTGATGCTTACTTACTAGTAGTAACTGCTTGCTATGACCTTTTGATCTTAGGGACATGTTTAGTTGAAACAGTTTGCGTTCATCATACACTTCGTTGAGGCTGAGCTCTTGAAATCGTTCCCATTGGACCGGGGCTGCAGCATTGAACTGGAAAACTGTGGCCTTGCAGACTCCACCGTGGAACGCCTCAGGACCCGACCGGCTGATTGGCAGATTCCGCGATGTCCTGCACCCTAGTAGCGACGGCCTCCATCCTAAGAGCGATGGCCTCCAACCTAAGAGTGATGTCCTCCAACCTAATAGCGATGGCCTTTGTCCTTGATTAGTGTGTTCCACTTTCATTAGCTCATATTAGCTCTATAGTTAGTGGTTTGCATTTCTCATTCTATTTAGACCCTTCCTTTGCTCAATTGATTTGTCTAGTCTTCTCCATTTTGCTGCGCAGGAGAGCTCGATAGCTCCGATTTGTCGGTCGTCGCAGCCTCGAA